CCAAGGATGATTGCCAGGCACAACAGGAGACTCCAACATACGCTCTTCCTTCATACAACCACTCTCTACTAAGACATGATTTTAAGGCTTTGAGAATTCTGTTTCCATAGGCCTTTTTGTTTTGTTCTCAGTTTCTTGTTTTGTTCATGCCTTCTTCTTTACAGTTCCTATTAATTCACCCACTCACTCTGCATTCACCATCTCCCGCTTATATACTATGTCTGGTTTGCCTTGAATGACCATTTATACACAGATGAGTTTCAAATATATGCTTACTTAAAAAATTACATTCAAGGCCAGGCTGGACGGGGCTTGGAGCGACCTGCTCTAGTGGAAGGCGTCCTGCCTGTGGCAGGGGTTGGAACTGGGTGAGCTTTAAGGTCCTTTCCAACCCAAACCAGTCTGTGGTAAGTACAAACTCCATCAGCCCTGAAGAGCTTTCACTTACAGGCATAGCAGGCAAGTCAGACCAATGTTATATTGCATATCTAAAAATGAACTGCTCCTAGGAGCTCCCTTACATTATTATTCCCCAAAGTTGCTGAGATTTTTTTGTTGTCTCAAAAATTACATTTCAAGGCTCCTCTGGAGAGCCAAGTAATGCTCAAGAGTTGGGTATTTGCTGACTTCAGAGCTCTCCATACAGCATAGTATTTTCACATGGATACAATTTCAGCATCAAATACTTTTGCAAAAGCTGAAGGTATGGCCACAGCATGGAGGCTGCAGCATGCAATTCTTCCTGTGGCCAGCACCGCATTCCAGAGCTGTTTGGGAATACACTCTCTGTCTACAAGGGTTTAACAACTGAGTCCAGCCAAACTGGACTCACAGGGCAGCTATGTGCCTGTTCTTTCATAAAAACAATGATTTAAAGTCTACGATATGATGATGCCATATATGGGACATGTACAGAGAAAATCAGGCACACGAGGTAGATGCAAGTCTAATCTAGAAAGTAACCACTCATCAGAAAGTAAGACAAGCAAAGAATTCCTGAAAGCAGAAAAGCAGCTTACAGAAATCGGTCGTGGTCCAGATTCAACAAAATGGACTAAATCATTTTGACAAATCCCCTACTGCTTCCTGAAACTTTATAACCCCAGCAATAGGCAACTTGGAACACTTCTATGAAGAGCCAAGAGATCCAAGTCCTCTCTTGTATTTCAGTGGATAGAAGAGGAGAAAGAGAGCCTTGAACCTTATTGCCAATCACCAAGAATGGCTGTTCTCACACTATTATAAACATTTGGTCTCCATGGAAGGGGGATACCTAGCAGCAAACATTGGCAACCAAGGACATTCCACTCCCACTATAACATCCACAATAGCAAGGAGAAAAAAAAAATCCATAGGGCTGTTTCAATTAGAAAACCTTTGAGAAGCCTTCTTCAAAAGTGAGTGTCTGAAATACCATGAAATATGGGAATGTGCAACCACAGTTAGATGGGGGAAAACAGGCATCTTACTGTATTCAGAAAGCATTTCTGCTTCACTCCAAAGTGGGAACATCTAATAATCCAAGAACTGTTTGCCAAGAACAAGGTCATAGTTTTCTTTTTAATTCAGAACAGAACCTAACACACACCATGTTCTGCACTGAACAGAGAATCTCGTCGTTTACAGGTGTTTGGAGCCAGGTTTTAGTTTAATACAAAGTCTGAACATGTAAGAACTTTCTTATATTGGCTTTGTCTTCTCGTCAGACAGTTCTGCAGCTTTTTAAAAGTTGTCAGCAAGAATAAAGCAAGAACTGCAAAAGAGAGCTCTGCCCCAAGAGAGGGAAGAACAGATAATTCATTCACAGCTAAGTGTTCGTATATGAACATACACTTGGACTGTTGGTAATGGTAGAATTAAAGACTTCTCTCTATATACACAGTAACACAGCAACAATCAAAACCTACAGCAGATTTTATGCCACCTTAAGAAAATAAAGCCTTTAACAAGATGAAGTTTTACTTCAGCTGTTCATTCATTGTAGTGATAGGGAGCCCCAGCCACGGACCAAGGCATCATTGTGCCGGGTGCTACACAGAATTAAAGGGGGCAAGTTGTTCTATCGAAAAACACCACCAACACCCCCTAGAAAATAATCACATTACACTTAACTGGAGACAAAAGAAAGGGACAGACAAGAGAGAAGCATTTCTGCTTCCAGAACTTGGGGGTTGCAAATGCTCAGTTTCACTGTCCTGGTTAGGAAAACATGGCAGTAAAACAATCAACCTGATTTCTAAATAAACAGAAAGATTGGCCAGGCTGCTGATGAAAGGCAGGATAAAGAGAACAACAGAACTATTAAATTATCTACACTTCTGGGATTCTTGCTATTCTTTTGCAAAGTGAATGGCTTATGCTAATCAGGATGCATCTGAAATACATCATTCAAGCCTTCTTGTACAAATGCAGTTCATCTGTATCCAGAAAGATCCCACCAGCTGGCAATGTTTGCATACAATGGTCAACCCAACTTCAAGAGCCCATGCATTACAAGTCATTTTACATTTAAAAACAGTTCTCTTAGCTGGTCTTGATGGTGCACTCCTTGAGAAGAATTTTAGTGGAATTCAACACTAACACATTGCATTAATGCCCTACTTCCTCCAGCACAAAGGAGGTAAAAAGTTTTCTGTTGTTTGGTGGGGTTTTATCCTGCTAACCGTGCTTTGCCTAATGAACTTCTTGGACGAAGGGACAAAAGGATTTGCACCAATCCCTTCTATATGAATCAAATATTTATGCTATGCCCTCTTCAAGCACTTTCATCTAGTAACCTATGGAATGTGATCTCCTGACCTTAACACTCAAGCACGTCTAAATCAGCTGCCCTTTGAGCTGTATTACAGACTACAGAGAATTTTTATACATTTCTATTACGTACAAAACCTTTGTGGCCCAGCTGCAGTGTTTGGTGCTACAAAGCATCTGTTAGTCCAAAGTCACTCCAGCAGGCTTCAGGAAAGAGCAATCCTTTGATTCTGCCACATTTATGGCACAATCCCATGCCACGTGTCACCATAAACAGGTAGAATGATGAACCATGTTACCAGGATATTAACCAACCATCCCAACTGAAGTATTTCATGCCAACCACCATCACGATTATGAGGTGCCAACACCACTGCAATAAATCCCATGTCCTACTGCATGACTTGTGCCTACACCACACTGCCCAGGTTCCCCTCTGCCTCCTTGACAACAAGCTTGGGAGAAGACCAGGCACCTCCTTCCCTCCTTCTGGAAATCCTACTCTTTCCTCAAGAAAGTGCTAGAGCAGAAACAAATCATTCCATGTTGTATTTGTGGCTCCCAGGAATGTTTTAAGGACAGGGGGTTATGTCGCAAAGAAGTGTCCTGGAGAAAAAGAGAGGGAGACCAAGTGCCCCAGGTGAACCTGCATCTTCAACTACGGGGCAAATCTTTCCAGGGTCAGCTCGTGACTCTGCTTCTGAGAGGAGCAGTCACTGAGGGAACCCTGGAGAAAGTCTGACCCAAAGATTTAACAGGGGCACAGTCTTGATGGTAGGGTTCAGCCCTGAAAACTGCCATGCTGCTGCCCATCACTCACACAGGAGCAGCATACGGGCATAGGGCAATCTCAAGAAGACAACATTTGTGTTCCCACCCTGAAAGACTCAGTCTCCAAAAGATGTCAAGAGGAGCAGGAAAGCATTTGAGACTGCAGCCAAAACCTGTGCCACGTCCTCACACCCAGGACAGATGCTGGTGAGCTGCCAGCAAGGTGCCCCACTGGCCACTGAACCTCAGCAGAGACTTGAAGCACGCTCAGTCCTCTGGGGTCCCTCAGCTCAGAGCATGCTGATGCTGCCCTCACTCCAAGGCAGGCCCAGGACACCTTTCCCACTTTCCTCTCCCACAAATATCCCTCCAGGGAAGAGGAAGGGTAAAAAGAAAAATAAATTAAAAAACCCAAAGAGGAACAGGGATCACAACAGAGCAGTATGTAGCATTTCCTGTATTATCCACAGGAAAACCCACGCAGTGGGGAAGAGCATGATGTCAAGGCCGGTTTCACCACATGAACAGCCAGATCCTCCTGCTGGGGAATGCTGTGTGTTTCCACAGGGAACAGTATAATGCAAAGACGAGTCCTACTACCAGCTACACAAAATTCCACAATGCACCACCAAACACTGGTAGCACTGAAACTCTGGCCATGGGGAAGTGGGTATGTGAGTACAGAGCTGGAAGAGAAGGAAAAGTGGGAATTCACGGGGGTATTATCCCTTGTAAACCAGCACACATCCAGCACTCAGCCCCTGCAAAAAGGGATATGCTACAAAATATGTTTCCCTGCACAGAGACCGGGCCTCCATCCAGTTATAATGTGCACATGTCCTGCTGAGAATTCTGCCTTAAAGAAATAAATACCTCAAAACAAAGAAGACATCCTCACTCACACTCCCTCTGCACAGCACCAAGCATGTCCCTGGCCATGTTCAATAACCTGTTAAGGCACGTTAATTACAGGTTCAACACTTCTATACCTTGTGACACAGTAGTAAAGCACTTAATGTAAAACAAATTCCAGTGTGAAGCAAGGACTCTCAGCTGATGGTGGAAGCCCTGTTTGCACGCGTGCATATGTAAAGGCACATCCATGCTTCTCCGTGAAGCATGACGAGCAAAGACAATCTCAACACGCGGATTACGAGCACAATGACTGTGATTACTCGCTCAAAAGAAAAGAGCACCGCAAGAAACGCAGCTGCTTTCAAACCCAGCCCGATACAAACCCACTCCAGCAAATTCCACTCAGTTTTCCCTGATCCCATTACACATAAGCACATCACCAGTAATTGTGGTTACTGCCAGTGGTGAAAAGGATGGACGAGTGCAGGTTTTAGGCAAGAGTAATCTTTACAGGAGAGAGAAGTGATGGGCAAAAGCTGACAGAGCAGACGGCCAGTTTAACTGCCAGGTTTAGGCTGCGAGAATGAATGCCGAGCCCCTTGTGCCAAGAGCACGTCTCTTACCTACTGATCTGCTGAAGACAAAAGGGTTTTCTTCTTTTCTGAAACTGGGCACTTGGAGCTCGATGGGTCAGGCACACAAAGCTTCCCTGCTGCCAAAGGTATTTTTTTTCCCCTTCGGGTTTTTGTTGTTGTTGTTTGGTTTTTTACCCCAGAGAGTAAAGGGCAGACCAGTGGATTCAGCAGGGGCAAAGGGTGGAATTCGAGACTCAACAGGCGAACTGCAGAGCTCTTTCCAAAAGATGTTGTATTTCAAGGCGCTTTCATTTGTAAATCTTCTTCATGCTCAGTGTCAATAAAACTGGAGGTGGGAGGGGAATAAACTTTTTTAACTGCTGAAATAAACCGGACTCCCCAGGAAAAGGGAACGTGATGTGCACTGGATTTGTGGCTCGACTTTTGCCGTTTATTAAATATACTTTCAGACAGGCAATGAAGATGGACGGGTAGCAATCCAACAGTCAGGCAGGACCTGCCGCCAGTCCCTGGCAGAAGGATAGCGGTATTCTCAAGAACGGCGGCATAAACAAAAAGAAGGGGAAGTCGCGTCCCGGCGGCAGCGGCCCAGGCTCGGCTGTCAGCGGCAGCGCCCGCGGCCGCAGCAGGCAAGGGCAGCCAGCAGCATCGCGCCGGGGTACGCTGGGCTGCTCGGCGCCTTCTTCTCCGCGGTTACCTGTGCGCAGCGGGGCGAGGCGGGCGCGGACGCGGCGCTGGAGCGGCAGCAGGCGCACACCGGCGGCAGGACAAGGCAGGGCCGGGCCCGGCAGCTCCGCTCCCTCCTCCGCCTCCTTCCGCCGGGCTCTGCGGCGCGGGCGCCCCGCGGGACCGCGCTCCGCCGGGGCGGGCAGGAAGCGGCGGCACCGCCCCCCGCCGGCGGCACCGCCCCGCCCCGCGGTGGCACCGCCCTGCCTGTCCCTCGGCCGGCGGCGCGGGGCTGCGCCGGCAGCTATTGTGAGCGGGGCGGCTTCGGGGAGCCGCCGCTTCCCCCCGGGAGCGAGCTCCGGCGGGGCCCAAGTGCGGCCCCGGCCCCACGAACCGCCCGTCCGCACCTCGGGGAGCTCCGGCCCTGTGCCTGTGCCCGTGCCCGCTCGGGCTCCGTGTGAGTAACTCGGCCACCGGCAGAAGCGTCCACAGGGGTTTGCCAGCCCCAGGGTACCAGAACCTCTCCGCTAAGTCAGGAGGGCGGGTTTGCACCAGCGCACACCGGCCGAGGAGCTGACTCACCCGCTTTTTGCTGGCCGAATACTGAAAATAATTGGAAGCGTGTCAAGAACTGATCATGACTAACTACATGTAAGCAGGATATTAAAGCAGCTCCCTGTCTGTAATGTTCTGCATAAGTACACATCATCTAGTCTTCCAAGGCTTAAGTCTATTGCAACAGTAAACATCCACAGACCTCTGCTACTCTGCCACAGCTGGATCTAATGGTTGGGGTGGAAGTAGGAGATGGAAGAGACTTCAGTATTTTCTCCAAATGCAACCATGACTTTATAGAATCATAGAATGTTTTTGAGTTGGAAGGGACCTCAAAGCTCACCCAGTTTCAACCTCCTGCAACAGGCAGGGGGGACACCTTCTATTAGAGCAGGTTGCTCCAAGCCCCTGTGTCCAACCTGGCCTTGAACACTGCCAGGGATGGGGCAGCCACAGCTTCTCTGGGCACCCTGTGCCAGCGCTCCACCATCTTCACAGGAAGGAACTTCCATGTTTCCTCACTTTACTACATGATAAAAGTTGGTAGGCACATTCAGAGGTGGGTTTTGTTGAAGGCTTTAGTGCCTGGAATCACACTCTTGAATTTCAACTTTAAAAACAGTTTAAACATGGAACAAACTTTAAAGAAAATCCTGAACATGCTGCTCCTGAGCCTGTCTGCCCATTCAAGGAAGGCCAGCAAAGGGATTCCAAAATGCTGACAAAAAGGAAGGCTTAAGGCAGCCTCCCTGTTGTGGAGGATCTAATCACATGTGGTAGCAGCAGCAGTGCAGTTGTCTCTGCAGGGTACCAACCCCTGTACCATATCTGGTTCTGAAATGGGGTGAACAACTTCACCTTCTCCCAGCCCCACACCTGTAATCAGGGCAAATCCACAGCCTAAACAGGGCCCGAGATAACAAACTAGTCCTTCGACACAAACGTGCTTGCGTACAAACAATGGTACATTGCCTTTCTCACAATCCACCTCCTCCTCCTCTGGCTTTTGCATACAACACACCTGAATCCTCCCCTTTGAGGTCACTCCTGTCTGTAAATTCCTGATGATGATCTCCCAGTGATGGCTTCTATTCATCTCCTGGCTCCTGTTCACTTACTTGTGATTTCAAGAACAAGCAAAACTAAAAATGAAAGAAGCTGTCACAGTTGATTTAACACACTAAGGTCTGACTATGCAAACATGAAGTCCATCGGTCTGGCTGTAAGAGGACACTAGTTTCCAACAGTACTAAGTGTGCAAAAACTGGCCACATGTCAAATCCTTGCCCGGTGCAACCTGGCCTACAGAAGCTCATCAGGGCTCTTCATGTGAGAAGACATAATATGATTCAAGGCCAGGCTGGACAGGGCTTGAAGCAACCTGCTCTAGTGGAAGGTGTCCCTGCCCATGGCAGGGGCTTGGAACTGGATGAGGTTTAAGATTCCTTCCAACCCAAACTATTCTGTGATTCAATGATTCTAGGAATTCAACCATGTACCTTGTAATTACTTTAAGCAAACAAATCCCTTCCAACATTCCCAACTCTTAACATTGAAAAGAAAGATCCAGAAAAAAAATCTAGGAAGTCAGATTTCAGTAATGCTGAATGCAGCATATATAAGCATCTATTTTTTTCCCTCCTAACTGACATTTATTCATTGGAACACTGCAGTGGAACAAATGTAGAAGCACATGTAAACAGTTCATTAACATCCCATAACCTTACAGCTTACAAATGCAGAAAAAAAAACAAGACAAGGCAGCAGCAGCTAATGAAGCACATATTTGCTAGATGCTGAGGGGTAGACTTGTAAGGGAAATGTAGCTACAGAGAGTTCAAGAGTTATAAACTATGCTTCAATCACACATCCTGTCTCCCTCCCACACACTGAAAGAACATAGTGGGCAGTAGGGAGAGAAGGTAGAGTCTTAACATTGCTTAATGCAGACACTGAAAAGCAGCTAGCCTTGCCTGAGGCGTATTAACCTCAACTCCTTTGCTGCCGTTTATTCTGCAGAGCACTAGCACTGCTCATGTTTAACGCACACAATGGGAGATAACAGCTTTATCAGAACTGGAAAAGAACAAAGATGCACCGAATCCAAATTCTCTTCCTTAAAATATTCTCCCCCCTGTATCCTCCCTTCACCCAGCTCCCGCCCAGCCCAGTCCTCAGGAGCTCCAGCACACATCTGAACGGCTGCCAGCGGAGGAAGCGAGCAGTTTCCATACACACATCACGCCACAATGTGGGAATTCAGGAAACAGCACAAGAAAGGGGTTCCTAATAACTGTTCCAACGTGCTCAGGCCAATTTATGCAATCATACAAAGGTCACAGGAGATGTGTTAAAAAGCACAAAAGATAAATGTCACAATGGCGACTAGTTCAAAGTAGGAAAATAAATCTTGGGCTTACAAAGTGTTTGGATGACCTGGACTTGCTCCACCTCCAATTTTTTTAAGAGGTTGTCCTTCACATTCTTTAAAATTCCTCCATCTTAAAATTCCTCCCTCCAGGAATTGCTGTAACTCCACCGTCCTTTGTCCACAGCAGCTGGAGCTCAGGAAGCTGCTGATATTATCCCTCATGTACAGAGAGAAATCACCACTCAGTCCCGAGTCCATTCAGTGCAGCTGAGAGGGGTGTAAATTAATTTCCCTGGATCTCTGATCTCGGGCCAGTTTCACAGAGCTTTTCTTCTTGCACATAAAAATAAACTATTAACAGTGCTCAGAAGTGCCATTTAGCTCTTGGGACCAGACAGCACATTCCCACCACCACCAAAGCTGGGGGGGTCTTTGTCTAGTCTGTAAATATGCAGTTGGGGGAAATAATGACTCTACAGTAAAAAAACTGCCATGCAAGAAATAGGAAAAAAGACTAAGCAGAGGAGCTGAGGCCAAGCGTATGAGGTGGGCAGGAACAAGGAATAGGCTGTTCTGAAAAGGGAGATTACTTTGTATTTCTTGCCAAAGAAGCCGAAGTCAGTTTGACAGATACATTCATTGAAGGACAGGAAGTGAACGAATCATTAGGGGATGCAGATCACAACAAGATTAGATCAACTCAGAACTGTGTAAGAATCACAAGAAACATGTGGAGAAGACACCATGGTAGAGCAGGGTTTGTCCAGGGAGTTAAGTCGAGACTGGGAGTCACAGGCCACAGGACCTGCCTTGTTGCTGCATCTACAGTGAATGTGGACATTCAGCACTGCAGCTTCTGCTGTCATTTTACCACTAGGCTGGACAGCCCCCCAGGGTGGTCATGGCTGTTTTGAGTTGTATTTAGAGGATTTGATGATGCTTCCCTATTCAGCCCGAAGCTGTAACAAACCCTGAAGGACTCCCTCAGGTCCTGCCTTTGGGTATGGCTGGAGGCCAGCTCTGATTTCTGAAGAGAAACAAAATCATTCTTACATGAGACTGGACATGAATTATAATTAAAGCCAGTTATCATTCACCAACAGAGGGTAATGACAGATATCCACAGACCAACACCACCAGAAATTGCTACTATGAAACTTGACATGTGTGGAATCACTAGAAAAATCCTACTTTTCCAAACACAAGAGGAGGAATAGTCACACACTGTGTGCTCCACTGTCCTTCACTGAGGAACTGCTGTGTCTTTCTACGCGTTTATTATTCTACCAACTCTATACAATAAAAGCTTAATGACCATGTAACTTCTGGGAGGGAAGTAACTGATACAGGGACTTTTGCATAGCCAACATCCTATCCTTTAATATGGCTCCTGCTCACCTAAGGGTCTGTATCATACTGTGTGTGATGACTTTCAGAAGTGTGTCAGTTTGGATGGTACCTCTGATGGGTGAAACTCAAGTTCAGCAAATGGCTCCCTGGGTGAAGGGTCTGCACAGGAAGGGGGAGAAAAGGAACAGTTTACTACAGTGGGATGCAATATAGAGGTCAGCAGTGTGGTGTCACCCATGAGTTGATTGATCAGGTACCACCTGTAAAGAGAACTTTTCTAACTGCTGAACCTTGGCCCCTTTCTATGGGGAACTTCAGAAGAAAGCTGTGTAACCAGAAGAATGATAACTGCCAACTATGGAAAAACAAATTAATGGTTTCATCTTTGCTCTAAACATGCCCCATACCCTAAGACTTAAATGTGGGTTCAGCAAAATAAGGTTAGTTTGGAAAAAGGATTTCCTTACAAGTCGCCCTTCTCCCAGAGAAGGGCCTATAAGCCTTTAACTGATGTCTATTGTGTCAACAACCTTGATGTATGAAAGTTGACCATCTCCCTTGTTTCTCTGCACTCTCCTGACTCTTTGAAAAGAGTTTTCTCTTCAAAATCTGCTGAAATGAATTAAAAGATTCCTTCAGCTTCCAGTGGATTTGGATCAGAGTGAGCTGTAAGAATAAGGCATGGAGACCCTGCACTTCAACACAGTCTTTGTTTGCTCTCGATAACTAAAGAATGTATGAAGTCACAAGAGAGCGAGATGCACGGCAGCTTCTGCAGCAAAACACAGACTTATATTTCAATGCCCAT